CTAAACATTTCCTCATTTTATATGCATTTTGTTTAACATGGGTTTGAGTAATATTTCAATAATAAGCTATTGATAGAAGAAGGTACTTCTTTCACCAAATAGGATCACCATCCAGTTCCTATAGAAACTATGACTGAAAAATCCCCATAGGGATAGATGATGTTAAGTGGAGCAAAATTGGTATTCAATCAGATGGGAAATGAAAAGTATTAGTCAAGATCAACGACTTAGCCAAGGCTTGTCTAGACAAATAGACAAAAGACTGCATAATTTTATATGCAGCACTTTCAGCTATAATATTTCACATACTTGATAAAATTTATGTAGATTCACAAGCTACCCATTAATCTGAACTCAAACAAAGGCAATAAAGCATTGGAGTGATCTGAATTGACTTAATTAGAAACATTGTCTTATTCCATTTTGAACTTAGTAGCTCAGCAGCAAACAGATCGTTAGGCAATTGGTCATAGGTTTGAATCCTACTTGGGGAGATCTGGTTCATTCTCAAGTAATGAATTTACAACAGAAGTGGCTCTCTTTGGCCATTCTTAGTTGGTAATGTGTTCCTTATCTTTGTGTCTATAATCAGATATATAAAAAGTAGAGGTGGCTAATGCAAAAATGCAAATTTAGTATTGATAATTTTAAAAAAAATAAATAAAAAGACACTATGCAGTAGTTATTAGACTAAAAATATAAGGTGCATTAGTTACGAGACTAAAAATATAAGGTGCTAGTGCTGGATTTATGATTCAAAGATAAAATTATTAAGGCTTGATATTAAAGGTGAGAGAAAATAATTGAAGTTGACTAGTGCACTGCCAATTCCAGAAAACGAAATAATTGGTATCGTGAATAACTGGCCCTGCCCTTCCTTAGCTTTAGGGATTATATTCTGCCTTCATAGAAAGGGAGGAACACATGGATGTCTATTGGATCTATGGTGATTGCTACAGCTCAAATCGGCTGGGATAGGCCTCCTTATATTCAATTTTGTAAGCCATGGATATAATATAAAGCTGGAAAAGTACAGCCTGAATATCATAATGCAAATAATCCCAGGATTACCTTCGGAATATAAAAATCACTGGAAGTACAATAGTGACAAGAACAACAACTGGTTCATCTGCAATGGTGATTAGTTCCATTTATTGAACCTGATTAATTAGCTGTGTTGATCAGGAGAGATCCCCTACGGAGAAGGCCAATCCACTGGGGGTGATTCCAGATGGTAATGACAAGAACGGGAAGCCTCACAAATTGAGGTTGTATTCAATTGCCAGCAGTGCCCTCGGTGACTTTGGAGACTCCAAGATTGTAAGTCTCAGCTTTAGGTATTATATGTATCTTGATTAGCAGGGTCCAATATTAAGACAATAACTGTCAATTTTTATTTTTATTTTCTTTATATTTGACGATAAATTTATTATCAATTTATCACTTCATATAGGTGTCTTTGTGTGTCAAAAGGCTTGTCTACACCAATGAGCAAGGGGAAATAGTGAAAGGAGTTTGCTCAAACTTCTTATGTAAGAATTCACTCTACAATTAAAAAAGAAAACGTGTACAATAAGCATACACATGTTCTCAGTTTGTAAAGTAAGATGAAGATACTTTTTTTGTATTGAACACCTCTGAGTAAGAAATTTTCCTGTCAATTTAGCATGCTTTATGCTGTACAACCTGCCTTGAAAATATCTGGTTTCCAGGTGACATGAGCTGAAGTGCTGAAGTGAAGATCACAGGACCTGTTGGGAAAGAGATGCTCATGCCCAAAGATCCTAATGCTACCATTATAATGGTATAATGTCTTGATGGTTTTCTTCTGTTATCATCTAAAACATTGTGCACTTTGCTGGATTTGTAAATTATGTTTAAACTTTTCATTTCGATTGAGCCTCGTTAAATTTAGAATTTTTTCATTGTAGCTTGCCACCGGAACTGGAATTGCCCCTTTCCGCTCATTTTTGTGGAAAATGTTTTTTGAGAAGCACGATGACTACAAGGTAGGTCACAGGCAATTAAGATATCTTCTTCATTAACATCTATATTGTCTTCTTGATCCTATTATATTGCATTTAATAATAAACAAAGAAAAACAAAATGACCTACTTCATTTCATTGTGCCGCCACAATTACTAGAAGCATCTAGAGGGAAGAAACATTGGCCAGCCACATATTAGTATGTGAACTTAAAGGCAACCTTGGTTGTTGCGAAGTAGTGCCTAAAACATGAAATCTTGAATGTGTACAATGCATTGTATTGGGTATGACAATTCTCTTCCTTTAGTCAAGCTTTCAAGTGGGCTGTATTAAAGGTAAATCCCGCATTGGTTAAATATATAAATAATAGTCAATTTTTAAAGGCTTGGGCGCTCCTTTTCTGATGGAACCCAATCTTACAGGCTCGAAAATGGTGCTTATAGACTTGTATGTGCATCTTGTCTTTGTGTGAAATTGATAAATGCCAATTTCAAATCCTAGTTTGAGAAGGTTCTTTCATGGGACACACATTATATTTTCAATTGTCTGCAGCTATTCATATATAGAGTTCTTTGATCTATATAACTAGCATAATTAACTGACTTATTTAAATCTCGCCTTTCCTTTCCCTTTTTTATTTATTATTATTATTATTTTTTTTTTTTAAATAACAATATCAAGAAGATCATTTGTTTTTTTGTACTGCAGTTCAATGGTCTAGCGTGGCTTTTCTTGGGGGTTCCGACTAGCAGTTCCCTTCTCTACAAAGAGGTGAATTAAATTGCTCACACATCAGTACAAACTAATATGACTACTTGTTTATTTCTGTACGATGAACTTCCAATCAAAAAATTGAGTAGAAGACACAAGTATACAAATTTCAACTAGCTAGGCGTAGAAAAGAACAATTTCATTGTAATTTCGTTAACTTCTAATTGCTGTGGTACAGAAATCATCATTCCCAGGACGTTTCCTATAATTCACGATAGTCCAATAATAAACTGGATATTAGTTGTCAGCAGTAGTAAACTGTGGATGTTCTAATGGTACAGGAATTTGAGAAAATGAAGGAGAAAAACCCAGGTAACTTCAGGGTAGACTTTGCAGTTAGCAGAGAACAAACTTAGGAGAAACGTGAAAAGATGTACATCCAAAACCGGATGGCTCAGTATGCAGAAGAACTATGGGAATTGCTCAAGAAAGATAACACCCATGTCTACACATGGAGAAAGGAATTGATGAAATAATGGTTTCATTGGCTGCTAAAGATGGTAATTGTGAAGTATAAAGTTGGGATTGTACCAAAATTTTTGGTACCTATAAATGAGTTGCGATATGCTATTCCCCACTAAATTTTGACGCATTGGCACATCGGCTCTTGTTAGCATATGAAGAAGCCCTAATCGCAAAATATGATGTCACTTCTACTGTATTGTATTTAGGGGCGAATCCATGGGTC